CTTCAGATGTTCAAACTATTTTATTTTGGACTAAGATAAAAATTCCTTCTAAGATAAGGATATTTTTTCATATATTTCAAAGCTTATCATTACCTCTGACAATTACTTTAGCCATAAGGAGTTAGATTTGAAATCAGTGGATGTTTCAGCGCTTTGAACACAGGTGCTGACTTAGGTGCACTGCTGGCAGAGGGGTGTTATTAGCTGTTATTCCTGGTTTCCAGGAGCCACTACCTTTCTGAAGCAGTCCTCTGAGTCACATTTCCTCCTTGCAGTATTCCTACATTGATGCTAATTTAGTGCTACACTAACTCAAGCATTTTAAGTTAGGAAATGTAGCTAACCACCTCTCTTCAGTTGTTGTTTGGGGAGGGAAGAGATGAGCAGCCTTGTGGACTTCGCATGTTTGGGAGGAGATGGTCTAGAGGACCAGAACAGAGGTGTAATGTGGTCCTTCCTCTCAGTGAAGGATTCTCAATGAAGGATCCTCTCAAATGGAAGGATTAAATCCTTTTTTTCATGTCTTTTCTTTTTTCCATGGACTAATTAGCCTAGCAATACTATTTGTAGAAAATATGGTGAGATACCATTTTAAAAAATGAGATCTAGTTGCTAATTCCCTCCAAAATCCCTGCTGGATGTGCCTGTGCATGAGAAGACTCTGTTGCATCTCATGTGTGGCTTTGTTGCCTGAGGGTGATCTGTAAGTAGCAGGATTGAATGTTCTTTTCTCTGAAGCTTCCTATTTACTTCTGATGGGAGGCTCTTTGCTTGGTTTGATGCTTCTATTACGGGTCAGTGACTAGGAGTACTGGATATTAGTAAGCTGTTTGTAGCTGAGATAAAATTGATACTGAGAAAACACTCTCTGGTCTTTTAATTAATCCCATAGGAAAGCAAAACCTCATTTAGGTTAGAAGTTTAGCTGTTGGCAGCATCAGAAAAAGCTAGTTTCACTTCACTGAACTGAATTAAAGCTCCACTTTAATGGAATTAAAGCATGCTGCCCAGTTCTCTGCTTTTTATACCTTTACACCCATCAAAGCGAAGGGTTAGAGTCTTTATAAACAGCCACTCTACTCCCTCCAGTCTTTGACATAAGAAGCAGCATGCTGAGAATACATCATGAAAACAAATAATATTAGCATTTCCATCACCGCCACCTAGGAACTTTTCTGGTATTTTATTTATTATTTGTCTTTTTTTAAAAAAAACATTGCGAATAATAAAGAATAACCCCTATCTCTAATTTTATTTTGTTCTTTTGACATGGTGTGTATTGATGGACAGAAGTAGTTTATACACTCTTCTTCTGGGTGACAGCTTCAGAGTTAGGAACTCAGGAGCACTGTTAGAGCCCATGTTCACTGGTGACTCTATCGAGGCTGGAGCAAGAGCCAGAGCACCAAGTCTTTAGGAGAAGACTCTCCTCGAGAAAACTCTTTGTGAGTAGCTGAAATAACTGCTTTAGGAAGCAAAGACTTTTAGGAAGCAGTAAAAGAGGCAAATCTTTTGCAAGAAAATAAGAAAGGTCTTGTTTCAAGCATTCAGTTTTGTCTCATCAACACAAAGATATACTGGAAAGAAAGAATTTCTAAATCAGGGTTCTGGTAAATGGTGAATAACTCTTGTTGGTAGGAGGTGGACTTTCAAGAGGAAATTGATGCCTTCCCTAGTATCCTGTGTGTAATTTTAGGGGTTGTAGGAAGATCTTTCTTCCACCTTCAGTGGATGAACTCTGCTCAGTGTCATGCAGCAAACTGCCTGATCCCGTAAGGCTGGTTCTTCTTTTTAGTTGCCATAAAATGCAATAAACACATAAAATGCAATAAACACTTCCCTAATGATAAACACTTCCCTAATGTGATTTTTTTCACCACAGGTTCATGTACTGGTGAACGGAAGAAGGTGCCACGGGTGTTGTGAGGGGAAGGCATTAGTGCCTTAAAGAGGGAAGAAGGGTTCATGATGCTGCCTCCAGTTTCAGCATCACCCACACAGCTGAAATGCATTTAAAGCATCCTTAGCCTCATACAGAATTAAAACCAAGGAGACAGGCTACAATGCCAATTGTTAATACAATAACATTGACATTTTTTTCATAGTAATAGTTTGAAAAATACGTTGACACCAGGCTGCTCTACCTATTCTTAGTTTTATACAAAGACATGAAACAGCAGGTCTTGCCTCAGAAACAGGTTTAAAGCAAAGAACAACAATGAAAACACATTAAAAAAGAGAGGAGCTCTTTTCTTTCCTTTTTGCCCATTATCTTTGTATTTAGAATCCCATCCTTTGTTCCTTCACTCATAAAAGTTGTCTTACACAAATAGTTTATTCTCATTGTTTCAGTGAACTGAAATTAAATGGAATTAAATATAAACTGTAATAGGTTGCAGGAATAAGAGTTTGTGAGATTCATTTCTTCCAAGAAAATTCAAATTGGGTGGCTGGAGAACTTACAAGTAGAATACTGATTATATATGAGTATATGATTAAAGCTATTAAGAAGTTAATTCTGTAGCATTTGAGAGAAAGGGCAAGCATTTTTTATAAGTCTAAATGGCAAACTTTGAATACTTAGATCTGTGAGTTGAAGAATAAACTTCTTATCTACATCTCTTAGTATGATTGTGTCAATGTGTAAGCACTCATAGCAAATGTTGGTGGCAGTCACTCATTGGACAGTTCTTCTATACTGCAAAGTGTGGGGTACATGAGCTTTGGCACGTGCACTAGTATGTCAAGCATTTCTGCTGGTTGCACCACCTTTTCAGAAGTCAAAGAAGTCATCAGGAGCTTTATCTTTTAGAATCAGACAGTCAGTTAGGAACAATAACAAAATGTTGTTGCTGTCTCTGATTGAAGAGCCACTTCTGTCAAACAGTTTATTAAATTGCTAAATTGGGTTTTGATTTTCAGTTGGGAATGTTCATGGCAATGTTTTAGAAGGCATAAACTTGTACTTAGCATCACATTTGATAAAGGACTCCCAAAAATATGAGATTTAGTAATACCAATTAAGAATTATTTTTGCAAAAAAGAGACTAAGGCTTCACTCAAGCTATACATCACAGATATCTTGTGTCTAATATCTTGTGAGTGTCTAAGGAGAGGAATATTGCCAATACGTGAGCTCCTTATTTAGAAAGAGTAAGATATAAGGTTCCTTGTGTCGTTCTACATAATTAGGTAGTAATTCCAGTGAGGGATACTGATGACATGTAGTGCTTGCGTGTTTGATAATTTCTGCAGCATACTGAAATGAAATTACAGCTTTAATTCATACTTGTTATGGGGTTTTATTACTTAAATAGAGCATCTGATAGAAAGCAGTACTGACATCCTAGTTGATTTTTTCCCCTCCGCTATTGAAATGAGTTGAACATTCTGTTTTTTTCATGAATCTGTTTTTCCCTCTGAATTTTTCTGCATTCTACCAGTTTTGGATAATGCTTTGATTAATTTGGTGTGGCTGCTTCTTACCCCAGCCATAATAACTGTTGTGCCCAGTGAATATTCACATAACAGCAGAGAGTGACTGGGGGCTCTGGGTAGCCTGCTCCTCCGATGAGACTTTGTGCATCTCATTTTCTGAAACGGATGAATTTTGGCAAAGCAGCCAACTCTCTGGAAGTGTTTGAGACTGGGCACCCAAAATCAAGGAACCTGCGGCTCCTAATCATATCTGAAAATGTTTATTCTCATTCCAATTTTACGTTCCAGCAACAATATTGCTTAGCAAGTTTATAGTTAGTGTTTTAGACAATCTTTGAAAATAGAAATGGTATGTTTTGAAGAATAATAGTTTGTATTTATAAGAGTGTTGTCCAATGAAAAGTGAAAAGCAAGAGTAAACTTATGAGTGCAAACAGTACCTGCTTTAGGTCTGGGCCAGTATATGAGCAGAGAGGTAGTTTGTTCCATCTGAAAGAATGCACAGTGTCAAACATCAGTTCTTTTATAAAGCCATCATGAATCATAAATCGACAAAAATCTCCATCTTTATTCATCTGTTTTAAAATGTTTTTAAACAATGTGATCTGTCTGAGAGGTTATGGTCTTTAAGTTTCACACTAAGTAGCCTAAGTATCAATCCTCAAAGCCAGTTGAATTCATGAGTAAAATGTACCATTGCTGTTAAGGTGACTGAGAGTCTCATGCAGGATCAAATTGGCCCCTTTTTCATTTTGACAACTCCAGTTGAGTTACTCTGAATTTATATTTCCATACAGGTAGTCAATAATGCTGTATAGGTTATAGTACAATACTGAATTTAATGTATACTGCATAATATACTGGCTTTGTGTAAGATAATAACAATTTTTTGAGGTTTCTAAATCATGACAACACAGCATGCAAGAGAAGATGTTAAGTCACTAGACCTCAGGTTTTAAAATCAAAATGATTTTTCTGCTGTTAATGTGGTTCTCACAAAGGCTATTTTTTCCTTAGAAAATTTCATGCTCTTTGTAAATGTTGTGCCTTAGGTTGATAAAATTTTATGTATGTGGAACAACTCAAGCTATCTAAAATCTCATAGAAATAACGGGCATAGTGAATGTTGATTGAAATTTATACAACTCAGAGTTGTACTGTGGTGCAATTCCACTAAGTATTGTCTGGCAAACACTAAGAACTAGATTCAGAAAATCATGTTTAATGTTATACTGTTCATTCTCCAATCAGTTTTGTATTTTATGATTAGTGCGTTTTTCAGAATAACAATGACATTCTGGGTTACATAAGTACTTAGGAAATTATTCTCCTCCTTGTCTGTTTTTAATGAGGAATGAGACCTGTTATTAAACAAAAGATGGTTGGGTTGAGTCTTTTTTTGTATAGACCAGCATCACTGAAGTCAAAATATATTAGGGATACATAAAATAATCGGATTGTTATTTCTGTTTTGGTGTTAGCTAAATTAATAGAGACAATAAGAGCAAGAGAAATTCCTATTCCTTTAACAAATACTTCTCTGTTCTTCCTTGGCCCTACAGTCATTCCCAGCACAGCACGGCGACGCGTCCCCCCACGGTGAGCTTACAGCGGACCATTTCTGTGGAAGGGTAAGATGATTCTCTGTCCAAGCTGCCTGTAGAGTTCTCAGACAACACTAAGCCAAAAACTGAATTACTCACGTAGACATACAAGCTAATGACATGTATTATCACGTGCCGCAGGAATTAAATCTATGAGATGTACAAGTAAACATAAATGAGTTCGAATCACTATTAGTTCTCTTAAGATATTGATAGTGGAAGGTTTGGCCTTCATGGAACCAAGACCATGTGTCCTGGGGGTGTGCTGCCTACTGCTACTTCAATTCACCTCACTCGGCTGGAGTTAATATTTACATGTGTTAGCTGTAAAACGATTCCCACTAATCGTGAAAACCCCCAAAGGCTCCTTCTCTTGTCTTAATATTTGCATGAGCTCCTTTTGACAAAGCTAGCAATGTCCAAAAACTAATGTAGACGTACTGACAAAGAATAATAATCCCACGCTAGTCTGTGTATGTGTATATATTTATATATATAAATAATGTCTATATATGAATTATTTGCATAAACATAGATTGGAGTACCTAGCTGTACTTAGTACTCCTCATTAACAGAGCTGTTCTGGTAAAATGTGAGTTATTCAGAACTGTAGTTGGCAGTCTTGCATCTTTATAATAATGGAAAAACTCACATTTAACATTGAATCAAATTATCCACTCCCCCCCTTTTTTTCAGGTACAAATGACCCAATAAGCAAGCAATCACTGGCCTTTTTTATTATGCTTTCAAAACTGAGCTGTGTTAGACTGTTCAAGGCCCTGAACAACCTGCCTTGGTTCCTTAATCTTTCTGACTTTCATATCAAATGCACACAAATCAATTCGTGTTTTGGATTTATTAATAAAATAGGCCTCCAAATAACTTTCTGTAGAAAAAGATTCACCAGAGCTTTGCCTGGGGGCAGAGGACATGGTTTGGTGAGGCATCCTAAATCAGTGAATGTAAGCCTGGGAAAAAAAATGTGGAAATTTTTGATTATTTTGTAGGCTTGGGTAATATCTTGTCATCAGCTACCCTCAGATCCTATTTCAAAGTCTTTATTTGCTGCGATAAAAGTATGGATCTAAATTTTCCAAACAGGAAAGATGTCATCTTACCCGTATTTTGTTTTATGTGCTTTTTGTATTATGTTTTGATGTTACATCTTTATTGTGGTGCAGTCAGAAAGTAAAATGATAGATATGTGTAAAAACAATCCACTCCTAACTGAAATCCAAGATATTTTTCTCACAAGTGTGAAAGCAAAATAGTTTTAAGCAAATGAAAAAAAAAGATTTAGGAATTATTTTAAGTTTTTATTTAAAATATGTGGGAACTCCTGTATTAATTTTTCACTGAAATTCATAAGGTACCCTGTGAGTCACAATTCCTTTCAGAATTTGGAAATCAATCTGCCTATGTGAATTTTTTGATAAATTGCAAAGTCTGTGCTGGCCATGCAGACAGCTTGCATATATTATGTATGATTCATTAGAGCAATTGATATTGCAGATCTCCTGCTGTTTGGAAGACAGAAAAATATGTGGCTTGTAATTATTACTAATCAACTTAAACTGAGTCATATTTCATTTTACACAGGAAAGTGGATCTGTTAGTATGTTACACTGCTGAGCAAATATAAGGAATCAGCGCAGCCCTAAATATTTCATTATAGCAATGCTTGATTCACACTAGTGTTTTGGTGAAGTCCGTGCTGCTAAATATGTTTATAGTTAATAAAATTTGTTATGGCTCTTCTTTAGGAACTGGGTTTCCATCAACCTTCTATTTAAGTGATTCCTAAAACTGCTTTTGAAATGCACTTTGTGACTGCTTTACTTAAGAGGCTTTCTGGCACATGCTTGGATGTGTGGCCTGCTTGCGACTGTATGTGGTTGTGTCAATCTAAGTAGTTATTCTGAAATAGAATAACTGAAATATGTAGAAGTAGAACTGAAACTGGGTAGTATCATATAGATAGAATATAGGTAGAAGTGGATTCACTGGCACTTATTCCATTCCACCGTGTTGAATACATGAAAACTGAGGTAAAACACCTAAAACCAATTCTTATTTTTAAGGCATGCTCTTTTGGAGTTTACACATAGCAAAAAGTAGGTAGCAAAGTAAAAATAAAAATCAAGATGTCTTGCAAGCTTAAGCTTACTATATATTCAAGACATATATCCTTCACTGTTCAATAACAGCACCTGAGGAGAACAGATTTTTCATGCATATAAAAGCATGAACTCCACAGGTGTTTGCTGTCAGTGTTCAGTGAAGTATTTTCTAAGGTTAGCCCCATCTCCCTGGTGATTTTCCTAATTTTTATTTGCATGGTTTAAAAACAAGAAAACTATACTGTTTGCTTTGGAAAACATTGTTAATCTCATTTTTTGGAATGATTTTAATGATTGGTTTTAACTGTAAAAATATAAAGCAGGGATAATACCAGATGAAAATGAAAACTTCTTATTTGGAAATCCTGGTGTGCTGTCTGGCAAAGCTATAATTTTAGTAGTCTTGTAATAGCTATTCTTTCAGCAGTAGATGTTTGGACTAAACTGTATCTTACATACTACCGTTTATACCAGTCATCTTTTCTGTTGAGCTGCTTAATAACTGGGGTTTCAGTTTATTTTATGAGTGTTTTGATGGAAATTTTAAAATCATTTCTCAATATGGCTAAGCGCCTCATATATATAAATAAATATTGATATATAAATAAACAACATTTGAACCATGACCAAGGGTAAGAATTTTTATTCTGAACAGGAAAGCCATTTCAGGCCGCTTTGGGCTTCTAAAGTATCCTATATATGAAGTAATCCTGGGTGCTTCCTCCTGAAGGACTGCGTATTGGTATTTCCAGACTTTGCTTTGAGGTGCTGCTATTTTTAGATATTCTCTTAGCTTTTGAATTGTTCCTGTCTTCTGACAGCGTGATTCGACTTGCCTATCACCATTTCCATTTCATCAGGCTTTGCTTACAAACTCAAAAGCTAGAGCATTCATGGTAAATAGAGCCAACAACTCCTGAAAAGCATTATAAAAAAGTGGTTTTGATGTATAACTAATAGGTTTTTTGAAAGCAGGGCATAAAGCAACCTTTCCAGTAAAGAGTTGCTGCGTACAGCAGGTGGAACAGAGATGCAGATTTCAAGACTTACTGTGGATTACTAGCATATAAATAATGCACCTTCTAGACTGTGGAGAGACACATGCTTATGTGAGACAAACTGTAAATGAATGACTGTGCTGGAATAATCATCTCTCTTCAAAGTTACAGGGCCTGTGAGCTGTCCAGCGTTGCCACTGTCGAGCTCACTCAGATTGCTCAAATCTGGGAGACTCAGTCCTGTGTGTTTAAGATGAATGTCAGGCATCAAGGTAAAAACACAGACCAGTTTCACTTTTCAAATAAGAAATTAATCCCGTACGCCAGCTCCATCGTGCTGGCTGCGAGCAGAAAATACTACCTGATGTGCAGCCTTTAATTTCTCTACAAAGGACAAAATGAAAGACTGTCGAAGTCCAGAGGGGCTCCCACAAAACAAACAAAATTGAACATGTATAAGCCAGGGCATTCATGCATATATCACTCAGGTTGAAGCCTGACTCCCAGTAGGTTCCCTTGTATTAAATGTACTTCAAAGTTTGTGACAAGTTAGACATGATGTTTGGAGAATAACTGCATAAAAAATGTAGTCAGCCTTAAAGTTAGGATAAAGTATTGCTTCTACAGCTAACACCAACAATCAATCAACAAGAAATGCCAAGGAAGCTGTAGTCAAATGGCCAAGAAAAATACTCCTTTGAAGCAGAAAGGATAACTATACTAAGCAAAATTATATTATGCTATGTGATATAATAAATATTCTTTTTATGAAGGTCTGACTGCTTTAGCTGCTTGTTCATCAAAAGGAGAATATTTAGTAAAATGAAATAGCAGTTTACAGAGCAGTTACAGGTTGTGATGAAAATGAACAGGCTGCACCTGCCCAAATCACTGTCTGTATTTGAGAAGGTCAAAGTTGCTTCTCTGGACCATGTTGCTCCGTGTGACAGCAATAGATAAGAGGAACGTTTCCTTGATTTTGTTATTTTCAGTCATAGCTGAAAAAAAAAAATAGTTAAAGCCACAGGTAAAGGATAAGACCCTGCAGGGTCAGGTGCAATGGGGGTGTGTAAAATGTTAAGCCTTTCCTCTTAAAGTGCAGGGACTTGTAGGAACAGAAAGATTTGCAGCTGATGTCTTTTAAGTACGGGCTTGTGTGTACTCAGTGCCAAGCGTTCAGCCATTTCATATTTCAACTTTTGCCTTGTGTGATTAATCATATTTTAAAACATCGTATGCAAGGGCACATTCTCTGTTCATCCTAGCTTCCTCCATTCGATGCAATTAAGCAGAATCTTCTTAAGAGAAGAAAGCTGTCTCTATCTGAATTGCCTTTTTCAAGTCCATGCAGTGTTGGTGCCCTTTAGCTATCCAAAATAAACTTGCAAAGTGATTTATTAAAATGTGCTGAAGCGCTAGAGGAGAATTGGAAGTGCTGTATTGGAAATGGCCACATTAGCCCCTTGACTGAGACGGCTCAGTGCATCTTCCAGTACTGGATAAAGGTCCTTGGAGCCATGAGATTTAGTGTTTTTCCCTTGTTCTGCTACTAATGTGTGGCCATAACTGATGAAATTTCAGTCTGTTTCATTTTTTTTCCTTCTGCTATTTGCTCCTGTAGTAGTTGGAAGTTTTGTGTTGCAGTACAGGGGGTAGCACAGGGGCTGAGTGGCCCTGCTGGGGGCCTGTGGATGCTGCTGGGACACAAGCAGCATGAGAAATAACCCTCCTGATGGGCTTTGTATGAGGTGCATTAATTACCACAATACTAGGCCATCATGTGCAGTAATGGATGTATTGCTTCAATATCCTTAGAAAGCAAAAAGCATTTTTGGGGAGGAAAAAAAAAGCCTGCAGATGAAGCAAGATCAAAGCCACATTTCTGTCTCCACTAATTCCAGGTTCCTCACTGCGCGTCTCAACCCTGGGGAAATATCTAG